TAGAGGAACGTTTTTCTTTCATTTTTCACATTAAAAAAAAAAAAAAAGGAAATTTTAAAATCCCTGTTTATCAGCTTACCCTGAACAGAGCAAATGTTTTAATTCTAATTGTAAAATCAGAATGAGCAAATGGAAGCATGCCTAGTTGCTAATGCAGCGCCGCACTGGGGGCTGCTTACGTAGGCACACATTTGTAAAACTGACAAACAGGTAATTTTAAAATGTCTCTGTGTAAAGAGGGTGGGGGATGGCACAGCTTTGTTTTCACAGGCTACACGCACATGCCTCAGCTCAGTGCCTCGTAAATGTGGTCTCAGTCACTGTACTACAACTTTTTGAGTTGGAAAGTCTCTTCAGGGTTCGGGGCAAAAGGCATTTCACTGCTGATTCAGAGATTATTAATATTTACTGTGTTCAGACTGAGAGAATCATATGCATAATTTTGTAGTTGTTTGGCTCAAGGTGCACAAGAAATGCAAATACCTCATAATTTTGATTGTTCCACATGCAGCTCATTACAGTCTTATTTTTATGCACATTTTAAATTCAAAATAAAAAGAAGAAAAAGATTTTTATCTTTAAGCCTTTCCTGCGTCTAGGCTTGAGACATTCATTTTCCATGCTGCCCACTGAAAGATAGTACCTGACTGATAAAATTGCAGAGAGTCTGAAGGCTGTGCTGTGTGGTTACTACCTTCTAAAAATATTCATGTGTAACTCAAGGCTTTGAAAAATTGTGTGTATGTGTTTTGTTGTGTCATGGGGTTTTTTTCGTCAGCACTTCTTACATTTTTCTTCTTAAATGGGTGATACAGACCAATTTCATTCACCTTACTTAAATAAAATGCTTAAATGAATATCCTAAGGCTTTTGTCCTTTGTAGTCTCTAGAGAGAGAGGAGGACTTAGGACCCTTTTAGAGGTCCAGATTTAGACCCTTTGGAAATCCCTGTTCGTTGTCAATAGAGATGTGGTTCCAGTCTGGAACACCTGAGGCTTGCTGAGTTAGATAAAATCCAAAAAAAAGCAAAATTATGTGTGTCTAGAGCTAAAATATGTATTTCCAGGGTTTTCAAAGACCTAACTAGTGAAGTCCAAGTTTTATTTTTTGAAGTTCCCTTGGTGGTGCTTTAAGGTGATTGCTGTAATAACTGTGTTGCTTTCATGACTCTTTTTGGCTTATCAGTCAATAGGATCAGATTTATAGTGCTGTCCAATATGCTAAGGATACAAAGATATTGACTTTTTTTTCTGGCCAAAATGTTTTGCTTATTTTAAGAAACAGGTGAGATTTGTTTTGAAAGAAGAGATTTGTGGTTCTTCGCGGTATATCATCAACAGATTGTCACATACAAATCAGATAATTTGTGTTGCATATATCTGTTCTCAGTCCAGGAAAATACATCTCTCCACTTTTGTTTCCATATTTAAAATTTTCTTTTCTCCTAAAATGGGAATGTTCACGAAGTTGTTATAATTAAGATTTCCATTTGTTTTAATGAGACAATGTGAATTCATTGTTTTAAAACTTTAGAAAATTTGTTCCTTGTATTTGTTGTTGCTAAAAAAACCAAACAAACCAACTCCCAAAAAGACAACACTCCAACGTCCTCATTTTTTCCACTACTGTCACCTTTTTGGCTTCATTTCAGTTATTAGACACCTTAGATGATATAAAGTACCACATTTCCTTTGCAGTCCATTGGGCTACAGTATGAATACATCAGCTAAAAAGCAGACCAAGATGACTTTAATAGAGTTCCTGTGGCCCCTGTCAGAGCCCAGACTTAGAAAACTGTTTAATTTCTTGGAACTCTGTGAACAGCAACTTTCCCTGGCACTGACTTTATGACTTAAAGTAGTTTCCAGGTGAACCTGAGCCTAATAAGTATGAGTATGTCAAGTTTTTTGCAGTCATAAAGTAGCTTGGCTTTTCTGATTAGAAAACTTGCTGTGATGTCAAGTGAAGGTCTGGCACGTTCCCTAGCAGAGTGACGGGAGAAGGACTGCAGGGGGATGCTGAGCGGGCAAGGCAGAGGTGTGATGGGCTCTCTTGCTTTCTGGGATAACTGGTAGCCCAAAAGACTAGGTAACTACTTCCTGCAGGGTTATCTTCAACAGCAGTGAAATTCCTTATTCAGCTTTAACCTCCACTGCCTCTGTGCCCTCTCCGGCTGTGGGATGTGTGTGGTATGTACACCATTAACAGTCGGGAGGGAAGGACTGAGCTCCGAGGCTGTGTGACTTGGACTGGAAGCGGAAGCAGGTGTTGGAAGAGCAATGAATCACTATCTGACATGCAAGTATACTTCTATGTACGCTCCAACTGTGCCACGGCATATTTTTCCATCTCTTTTCTGCTGTTTTGAGGATGCACTCTATTGCTAAATCGTGTAATGTAACCTTGAAAAAGAAGAATCCTGTGGGTTAAGGCATTAGAATAAGAGAATTAATCTGGTTTGAAAATCCTGTCCTTCTGAGGGTCTACATTTGTCATTTACTTAGTTTAGAAGATGAATATGGCAAAATATATTATTTATTAAAGTTGATATAGGCACTAGGCTGTAGCTTCCTTTTCTCACACATTCTTACATTAAAATTAATAGAAAAGAAGCTTCTAGCAGTTTAAACAGAATTTGCCTATATGGCAGAAGGAGTAGGAGCCTTTCCTTGTTTTTGTAAATTATTTAGCAGTGATACAAATATTTTAAAGCTCAAAATTGTGGATGGTCTCTTTTTTTTCTTTTTTTTTTTACTTGCTTACTTGTTAGCATGTTAAACACAGTTGTAATTTCAAGTGCTATTGGTGTCTCCATAGAGAAGCTGGAACGTCTTTCCTTACAGCATCATAAAGTCTATAATGGCTTTAACTTTATTTTGCCAATACTGATTATAGTTGCTAATTGTTACTGCCAGTGCAGCTAAAACATAGGCACTATAATTAGTGTATAGACATGGTGAATTTTGGAGTTTCTATGTAGGCACCAGGTTTCTAAGTCTGGATTAAACAAAACCTGAGTAAAGGTGTTATAAATTGTGTTGATAAATATACAGATGTTTGCTGGTATCATACATGGAAGTTTCCGTCTCTGCCATATGTTGATGAGAGGTATATTTGGCTCCTTTGCACTGAAGGAAATTTAGAACTGTGTTACAGCCCATCAGTGGCTGTTTCTACTACAAGTGGTTTTGTTTTGTCATCTTCCTTCTCTTCCAGAATACAGAAGCAGTAATTTAATACATCATATATGAAAGCCATGAGTAACAGAAACATTTATTTTCAGCTCCTTAATGTGACATTCCCATGATCAGTACAGGGCAGTAAGTTTTAGCCAAAACTTTTTTTATCACACAGCTAGTTAGAAACACCTGCTACACAAGTTCTGTGTCATAATGATTTGAAGTATCAAGTAGAGGAGTCTGTCCTTACACAGAACTAATCGATGTCTTTGATAATGACTTGGATGAAAGAATAATACGGGGTTTATGTTTTCAGAAAATGAGAAGGTGGAATGGTCTTCAAGCACTTTTAAAAATGCAATTAGGACTGAGAATGATCTTGACAAACTGGAGCAGTGGCCTGAAGTAAATAGTAGAGAGTTCAGTTACGACAAAGAAAGCATGACACTTAGTGGAAGTTCTGCAGAAAAAAAAAAGAGAAAAAAAAAGAATAGTACTCAGTCATAAGCTTAAACATGAATCAGCAATATCATAGTGCACCAACAATCTTGCATCATGATGTACAAGCAAGAATGGCATAGATTGTTATAATCAAAGAGATTCTTCCAACCTCTTCACTACTACTATGGCCTTAAGAGGAAGATTATGTCCAGTTTTCAACAGCAAACATTAAGAAAGAGGGCTGTTTCCTTTCAATAACAGAGAACTGTGAGCCAAGCAACAGTGAAGAGGAAACTGCAACATGCATACTAAAATGCGTCTGAGGTGGAGGAGAAAATGAAGGTAGCAAACTGTTTTTCATCCTGTATGAATGAATCAATTTCAAGAGTTGCTCTAGGGATTCCAGAGCTCTGGAATATGAACCCAAATGTGGAAAATGGGGGCAATTGGTTGAAGGGTTTAGAGCTCCTGCAGAGGTAAGAGGAAAATTTGTCTGAGAGGATATTAGAGCATGGGAATGGTTTTCCTGAGGAAATTTAGCTATCTTCATTACTGGAGGTTTTGCAGAATAACTTATACAACAGTTCTTGAAATGTTTTAGGGCTTTCCTAGTCTCTTTTTAGGCCCAGTTGGATTCAATACACTTTATGTGATTTAAAGGGTATGTCTAATTTTGGCTGTTGATACCAGCTGCAATTCCTGAGATGTTTTAGAGTTTTCCCTGCTGCTTTCTGTCAGCCACAAACTAGCAGAGCCTCTTCTGTGTTTCTCTCTTCTCTGGCTTAATTTTTGGTCCCCTTACACCTTTCTCTACTTTATGAATAAAATAAATGAAGAAGAAAAAAAATATTTGAGGATTCAAAACGTATTGTGTTATATTCCTTTAGTATTTTGTCATAAATAGACTGAAAGATGGAGGGGAGAAAAGCTTTTTCTTTCTAATCCTCTAATATTAGTCTTACTTCTTTCTGGTGTACCTATGGTATCCAGTGATCTCATAGTCCCTATGTTTATATTACCACTCCAGCAGCTTGATTCAGGGATAGTATGGTCTCTTACAGCATCACAGATTGCATGATGAGAGCTTTGCATAGCAGTAATGCCAGCTGATAATGCTGTGGAAATTCTTTAGGGAGGCTGGTGCAATAAAATGCTTTTGTATGTACACTGTATATACTACTATAGGTAGCTTTTTAGTAGGTATCTTTTTGTGTTGACCAGTAGGCTTTCATAACTGCTTTTTAGATTAATAGATACCACTACATAGGCAAATACATAGCTGCTCTTGCAATGCAAGCAGTTTTCAAAAGACCAAATTTTTACAGAATTGTACACAAATAATTGGTGTTTTGTTTTTCCTTTCCTTCCCCGCACTTCTAGCTGGCTGTAAGGTGGTTGGAACACAACTGCCGCTACCAGTACCTGGATGAGCTTCTCCAGTACGTCCGCTTTGGCCTTATGGATGTGGATACATTGCATACTGTAGCTCTTACTCATCCTCTTGTCCAAGCAAGTGAAACTGCGACAGCACTCATTAACGAGGCCTTGGCTTACCACCAGAGCGTCTATGCACAGCCAGTTTGGCAAACCGCAAGGACAAAACCCCGCTTCCAGTCAGACACTCTTTACATTATTGGTGGGAAAAAACGTGAAGTCTGTAAAGTGAAGGAATTGCGATACTTCAATCCAGTAGATCAGGAGAACGTTCATATCGCAGGGATTGCTAACTGGAGTGAGCTGGCACCTATGCCTGTAGGGAGAAGCCACCACTGTGTTGCTGTCATGGGAGACTTTCTTTTTGTAGCTGGTGGAGAGGCAGAGCACTCCACAGGGCGCACGTGTGCGGTGAGAACAGTCTGTCGATATGACCCTCGCACTAACTCTTGGGCTGAGATAGCTCCGATGAAGAACTGTCGGGAACACTTTGTGCTGGGAGCCGTGGATGAGTACCTGTATGCCGTAGGGGGCAGAAATGAATTGCGTCAAGTGTTACCTACAGTGGAACGCTATTGCCCCAAGAAGAACAAGTGGACCTTTGTTCAGTCCTTTGATCGATCGCTCTCATGCCATGCGGGATATGTGGTGGATGGTCTTCTTTGGATATCAGGTAGAAAACGTTTCACACAGTTTGAGGTACTAACAAAATACCAAAATACTGTCTTGAATTAAACTAATAAATCTTCTATGGTTTATATGTCATGATAACTTTTGTCTTAGGAGATGACTATTTCAAAGAATTGAAGCCTGATTAGAAGTATAGGAGCATAACGTACCTATACGATATTTTATTTCTCCTAAGTGTCTCTCTGTGTTTCAAAGCTGCATGTCATACGTGCTATCTCATGGCTGCCATTCATAAATCACAGTGAATTGAAATGATAATGCACTTACGGACAAATTTCAGATGATAAATTCTGTGTGCTTCCTAAAAACAACCAACCAAAAGACAGTTTCTGTAGTATGATCTGATACTTCTGACAGTGACAGGTCCCGAGGGAATTGCCTGAAGTTGTGTCAGGGGAAGTTTAGGTTAGATATTAGGAAAAGGTTCTTCACCCAGAGGCTGATTGGGCACTGGAACAGGCTCCCCAGGGAAGTGGTCACAGCACCAAGCCTGACAGAGTTCAGGAAGAGTTTGGACAATGCTCTCAAGGACATGGTGTGATTTTTGAGCCAGTCCAGGGCTGTGCAGGGCCAGGACTTGGATTTCCATGATCCTTATGGTTTCCTTCCAACTCAGAATATTCTATGATTCTACGATTCATTTAGTCCTGATATTGAAATGGAAAATTAGGTGCTTGTTGGCTTGTACTGTTCCAGGGCTTGAAGGCAGATGTATGAATTGCACCCAGTTGCTCATCAGTATACTGTAACAGGCCAAAATGACCTTTGTTAGAAATCATCCATGGCGCTATCTATAATGAGTGCACAGGACTGTCTGGATGTAATCTTAGCTTTATGGCACAGATCGATGAATGTATAGGCCTTATAATCCTAAACTAATGTATCATTTGCAACTGAGTCTGATGCAGTTTTTATGTTACGTGTTACATTATTATGTTACATTGATGGGGGTTGAGGACATTGTTTACTCAGTCTTTGTAATGACTTCTGGGATTAGTTATTTTGGAATACGGTCGATAGTGTCTACAGAAGATTTCTTAGAAAAATATTCCCCTTTCACTAAGAAGTGTTCCATGGAAGATTATATAGTTACAATATTTATTAAGAAAACTAACAAGTAAATGGGGCCAGCCTTTGAGGTAAACGTTCAGTGATTAGCATCTTCACTGTAGATACCCTGTGGTATCCCCTCTGGGGATTTTAATATGGTCTGGAATGCCTCTGGTGAAAAGATGGTGTATGAATGGAAGATTAAGTTAGCTACTTAGGCCTTCACCGTGCTTCTCAAAGTATGTTGTTTAGGTTAGCAGATGTACCTTTTTGTCCGTATGGATTAAGTGCCTCATGGGAATGGATTCCTAAGCATTGGCAGGGGACTTAGCAGGTATCTGTTTTTACTAATATACACTAAACTCATGAACGATGACTTTGGAGTTAACAGCAGGACAAAATGCAGAAAATCAATGAGATCCCTGGCAGGTATTTGCATCGCTTCCTTCAGTAACCATCATTTAAGGAATCTTGTAGAGTTTGTGCTGTGTATTAATCCTGAAGTGAGATCTAGGTACAGTACAGGAACAGGGTTTCTGTTTTAGGGTACCAGCTGGGTGTGTTCAGTGCATTATCCTCTTTATTGACTACCTTTCCTATTTTATTAGTGAAGAGGGATGTATGTCTGTGGTGGGCACTTCAAATGCATGGAGGTTACTACTGTGGTATCTTGCTTACTGGGTTTTTTTCCCATCTTATGGTTTACATTTGTCAGTCTCCATTTATGAAGAACAGGGCTTTTCGGGAAACTGTGGTAAGCATATTCATGTAAAATCATTGAATGTGCACTAGAAATCCATCAGTGTGGTCTTTCCTCCAGTAAATGAAAAAAGTAATAATTTTTTGTCTTAATTTAATTGAAAAAACCCTGAAAACAAACAAAACAACAAAAAACAAACCAACCCAAAACCTCCAAAGTATCCAAAACACAAAATAGCATTTGATAGGATTTTTAAGTCAAATGTGGGACTGATTGAAGATCAAATTTAATCTTTCCAGATATGCTAGGAAAGGGGAAATTATGCTGAGGATTAATTCATGTGCTTAGTTATGTAGGTGAAATGCATGCCTGCCTGTTTGTTTTAAATACTACCTGCATTTATATAATGATGCAGTGTGATATTGTGTTCAAGGATATGCCTCTAACAGAGCTTAGAATCAGGGGAAGAGGTAAGTGGAAGCCTGTTATATCAGCTCTTTAAAACTGGGCAAAACAACAAAAAATATTTTGTCAGTATTGTTCCGTTTATATTTGTAAATGCCATGAACATAACTTCTGTTGTAAAACCGCAGTCAAGAACAATGTTTTGGCAATGTAATAAGATAGATAGGGCTTTTCAGTTGTATTTGGGTAGTTTTTGAGAAAATGCTTAGAAGTTTTTAGTTGCTAGATTCCGACAGGTTATTATGAAGTACGAGAGCATACCATGCTACAGTTCAGTAGTGTATTGATCTGAATTATGTACTCACAGATTGAAAACTGGTTTCTATGTATTGAATAGAGTTATTTTAAAATGAAAGGGAGAAGGAGATATAATAACTGTAGCTAGCTTTCTATTATTAATTAATTGCTTAGGACTAAAATGTAGCTTGTGGTACATTCAGGGCTGGGGGAATAGTACAGAGAGATGTTTTATTGTATCATAGTCACTGCTGAAAACGTTCACTGTTCGTCATTGAATATAAGATGTTAGCATAAAAGTAATCAGTAATGCAGAAGGGAACCTAATTTTGAAGTATGTGGCCTAAAATTAAGTAATTAAAAAATTAGTCTGAGTTAGAGATGTTTCTGAGCTGTATCCCTGCTGCCTTTTCTGGGAAATATGGGTCATCAGCAAAGAGCTCTCAAAGTCAGTCTGCTACTACCAGCTGGCAAGGGAACCCTGAAAATGTGCCCAGTTTTTTAGTGAGTGAATAAATTAAACAGTTATAATATAAGTTTCTAGCCCTTGTATTTGTGGAGAGAGTCATCAAAGCATGACCTGCACGATGACCATTTACTTAGTGCCTCTGCTACAGCTGCTTGCCCTCTTAAAGGCTTTGCTAGTCAAAAGCTGACTAGACTTAAGGGGTTTCTGCTATTATTAGGAGTCATTTTCAGCTTTACTTTGCTGCTCCTTTGGGACAAATATGACAAGGATTCAAAAATAACAGAGGATAAAATCATGACAAAGGCAGCAGGGAAGGGAAGTGAGCTAAACAAAATGCTATACAAGTGTAAGCATATATAGGAAATGGGTGGCTGGTGTTTCAGGTGACAGAGGGGCTTCTAGGCTGCTACCACCTCTTTGGGGTTTTTAACCTGACAGAAGCATGTTAAAAGAGGGAGCCTTGGAGCCTTTTGCACTCTAGAACTAGTCAGACCCTCTGGTCAGCACAAGTGGATTCAGCTCTTGAGTTTTCTGGGCTCCATATTGTTATATAATTACTTTTTCTTGGGTGTTTTGGGTTTTGGGGTTTTTTTTTCATTTGTTTGGAGGTTTTTAGTTATTTTTTTTTCACAATCATAATTTTATTTTCTTATTAAAAAAAAAATACATGGGAATTCTTCAAAATAATGTGCTTGTTTTAACTTCGATGGAGTTAATTTTCCTCATAGCAGCCAATATGGGCTGTGTTTGTATTTGTGCTGGAAACAGTCATGATGATATACAGGGATGTTTTTGTTACTGCTGAGCAGTGCTTGCACAATCAAGGCTTCTTACCCCACCACACCAGGAAGGATGCTGGGGTGGGCAAGAGGTTGGGAGGGGACATAGCTGGGACCCCCACTGACCAAAGCACATTCCATACCATATGGCATCATGCTCAGCATATGAAGCTGGAGGAAGAAGAAGAAAGTGGGAAGACGTTTGTAGTGAATGGCTTTTGTCTTCCCAAGTCACCATTACGCTTGATAGATCCATGCTTTCTTGAGAATGGCTGAATTAATTCCTTGTTTTGCTTGCTTGTGTTTGTGTGTGGCCTTCGCTTTACCTGTAAACTGTCCTTATCACGAGTTTTATCACTTTTACTCTTCCAATTCTCTCCCCACTCCACCCCGGGGGAGTGAATGAGCAGCTGAGTCACTGACTGGGGTTAAACCACAAAAGATAAGTTCTCTGTAGTGACATTGCAGCATCAGGCAGATGGTTTGGAACTTTTATAGAAGGATGAATCTAGCAGGCCCAAGTTAACATCTGATGCCATGACCAATTTCACAAATGAATTGCATGCCATGTGCTTGAAAAGTGAAGTATTTCAGTGAAAGTGAAGTATTTCAGTGAAAGAGAAAAAAAAATCACCAAACACTTTGGAGTTCAACATTACTGACAATCATTAACTGTAAAAGCGGGGAAGTATTTTCCATAAGAGCGAGAACTTGAACTATGCCCGTTTCCCTGCATCCTCCATGGCGTCCACATGCAAATCTGGAGATCTGCTTTTCCAGACACGTTAACCTTCCTCCACCCGTATAGGTGTAGTGCCCCTGGGGACAGCGAGGGGCAGGGAACCTCTGCCAGGCACTCCAGCTCTGGGCCATTCCTGTGCCTGCATCTTGGGATAATGATGCTTCCCCTGCCTCAGGTGCTCAAGAGATTAGCACATGAAAAGTCTTGTTTAAAGCAAAGTGTTATGCTGTTGTTTTGCAGAGGCCCGAGTTGTCTGATCTTAAGTGTGTCAGCTAAAATCACATCTTGACATACACATAAAAACTCAACTTGGGGGAAGGGGTAAACAAGCCAACCCTGTACAGTTGCTTTGTATTTAGTATAAGGTATAAATATTTATCTTCAAAATTCAAGATTCTTTTTGGGGTTTAACTGTTATTTTCTCCCCAATGGTGGTGATTTTGACCGAGGAAATGATGGTGATAACATATCTTGGAGAATTGTTCTGAGTTTGCAAATGATTCGTAATGAAAAGTATTACCTTACTGTCAGTATGCTGTTG